CGGGGCCTGTTCCAAAAGACCCGGGCGCTGAGCGTCTTCTCCATCCGGGCGAAGTTTCCAGCAGTCACACCAAGGAGGAACCCCAAGGGTAGCGAGGGTTAGTGGGGTGCAGTGTCTCAGCCCTGCCCGGCCGCCAGTGTGGACGGACGGACGGATGGATGGATGGATGGAAACTTAGCTGGACGGAGGAAGGACAGCGGGGGCCCCGACCCCCGCCATCTCGGGGCTGCGCGCAAGAAGGGGAAAGTGGGGAGCGGAGGGGTGACGGAGGAAGGGAAGACAATAGGAGGAAACGGCGTCTAGACGAACCCAGCCCTCCCCCCGCTCCTCGGCTCCAGAGCCGCAGGCCCACTCTGGGCACCAGCTCTGCCCGCCTTCTATAGAGGCGGCCTCTTCTGCAGCGCACAAGGAAGGATGGACCGAATCCGTGCGCCTCCAGGAAGTACTTTATTTACAAGCGGCAAATAGGAAGTGGTCTAAGAGTCTTAAGAATCGCAGCCTCTCTCGGCGTAGGAAACCCGAGGAGGCCTCGTTCGTGAATGACCAGTTTGCACTCAGGCTGTGCGAGGTGAGGCATACAAAATGAGTCCCCGAGTCAGAAACAGGAGAAGGTGCATAAATCCTCTACTGAGGTAGATGATTGTCTGAGGTGTCCTTGCATCCCAAGGTGTTCCAAGAACACAGGCTGCCCCTGGGCCCTGCATCAGAAGGAAATGTAAACCCGATTGATTCCCTTTGGAGACCTGAGCAACGGCCTAAGCGTCCTCCAGGATGCTTCAAACGGCTTCATGATGACGCCTGGTCGCCTGAGAAGCTTTGCCAACTCTCAAGAGTAAACTAAAAAGCATGAAGAGTATGAACACAGATACCCAAGAGTTTATGTGTAAACCAGTTCAAACCTAAAAAAAAAAAAAAAAAAAAGTACATAAAGAAGCTGGGGGGAGGGGAGCTACCTAGCTTAAGACAAGAGACTCTCAGCCTCCGATTAAGTAAATAGTACTTTGTGATGTGTTTCTCAGCGTGTAATGGTTCAAGCCTTCAAGCCCAGCATTTGGGAGGCAGAAGCAGAGGCAGAGGCAGGCAGATCTCTGTGAGTTCAAGACCTGCCTGGTCTACAGAGTGGGTTCCAGAACAGCCAGGGGGATTGCAGAACCAGGAGGGTTTTTTGTTTGCTTGTTTGGAAAAAAAAAAAAAAAAAAAAACATGTTTTAGTTCAGTTTAGTATTTGTGGTGGCTTTGAATGATCATGTCCCTGGAGGCTCATGTAATTGAACGCTTGTTCCCCAGTTGGTGGGTGCTGTTTTGAGGGAGGTATAGGAGTTGCGGCATCACTGGAGGCAGTAGTCGCCAGCAATGGGCTTTCACGTTTCAAAGCCTGGTGCCATTCCCTGCACGCTCCTCTCTGCTTGGTGCTTATGGTTCAAAATGTGAGCTCTCAGCTTCCTGCCCCTGCTTCCTACCGCGCTCCCCTGCACCCCTGCCATGACGGACTCTAGTCCCTCTGGAACCATAAGCCCAAATAGACGCTTTCTTATAAAAGTTGTCTTAGTTGTGGCGTTTTTGCCACAGCAACAAAACAGTAACTAATACAGTAATGTAGAAAGGTATGTTCCCTACATATTGTTAGGAAAGTGCAGGGCACAAAACAATGTGTAACCCCAAACCCCAACACTGGGAGGTAGAAACAGGACGTCAGGAGTCCAAGGCCAGTCTCTCCTACATACTGAATACCAGCCTGAGCTATGTGAGGCCAAAAATAATGAAATAAAAATAAAAAGGTAGTCTAATCTCAAGCTACTGGAATTCGTGTGTGTGTGTGTGTGTGTGTGTGTGTGTGTGTGTGTGTGTGTCTGTGGGTGTGTACAGAAAAAAAGCCCAGTTATACACCAAATTTTACTATGTACCAAGATTTAGCAGTGATTTTCCTCAGACTGGAAGATGATTTCTTCGGGTGGCTTCTAACCCCAGCCTATGAAGACGTCTTGCTAAATGTAGGGTCAGCACAGTCAAACCTATCTCGTGACTGGTGATGAAAAGAAGAGGTTCGGGGAGCTGTTCCGACCGATGACTACAGAAAACTTACAAATGACTTTGCTGGGCGAGAAGTCACAAGACACTGGGGATGCAATATGACAAAAGGTAACCAGCATCTCTCTTTGGACCCCAACACTGGTGAAGCTAAGAACTCGTCATTTACAGTGGGATCTGACTCACCTGGACATAGCGACTGGCTTTGGATAGCTGCGAGTCCCTCAGTGGCTGAGCATCACTTCTTGGGCCATATTGTACTCCTGAGTGCCATGTTCATGGAAAGAGGAGCAGTCACACGGGAGTTACTAGTTCCCCGACATCCCCTATAGGTGTTACTCCGTGTTCCGAGGGCAGTGATGGCTCCTCCTCTTGTTCTCCCAAAGCAGAGAGGGTCAGAGAATCAGATCCCGCCCAACGGCTAATTTCTTGCATGTAGTCATTCATTCATTCATTCACTCACTCACACCTGTTTTGAATGAGAACTACATGTCAAGTCTGCATTCCAGGGTTGGACAAACAAACAGTGGACCTTCCATAATGCCATCGTAGAAACCAGGTTTCCCCAGTGCCTAACTTTGGAAGTATACAATACCATAACTTAGTTATAATAGCTGCCTTTGCCGCTGAGTGGGGGAAGACCATCATCTCGGCCTCCTATCATTTTCTCTGCACCTCCAAATAAATGATTATGACAGATTGTACACTCTCCTAATTCCAGAAGGAGAGACTGTAAGGGGCTCCATAAAGACTATGCATGCTCCTGGAGATACTAATACATCAAATTATTTTCATCCCCTTCTTTGCCTTTTATGTTCACTTAAAGACATGGAAAGAATAATGAATTGTGCTATTAACACGTATTCTGGGCCACAAAGGACATCTCCGTATTCCTATACAGAACCTTTCCACATAAAGAACTCCCTGCTTATCAGCCTCCCCAAGTGTCTGCCAGGCTTGAAGAGTATGGCAGAAAGCGGGAATTCAACAATAACTCTCACCCTTGACTTTCGGAGTCAAGGAGATAAACATGCCCCAACGCCACTTTATGAAGCACAGCTAGACCACACAGGCATCAGCGATTTAAATGCACAGATTAAAGAAAGGGGCTCAGACGGTGAACTTTAAAGAGAGCAATCTGAGTGGATTGAGGAGTAACAGTTGACAATTCCTACGTGTGTAGCAGATGGAGACAAATGATAGCACCTTATAAAGAACACATGTCACTGCTGTTCGGTGACACAATGGCCAGGACACAAGTATACACCAGCTACATGGAAGAGTGGTGTGAGTAAAGCATGGTCACTGGCCAAGGAGGCTCTTACAGGTCACCTTTTCATCGCAGCGTGCGTTAGTCTGCCAGGGTAGCCACGGAACACCACAACACAGAAGTGGAGAGTTGGAAGCCTGAGGTCAGGGTGTTGGCAGAGGCTGTTTCTTCTGATGCTTGAAACTAGCCACCCTCGCCCATCTTCCTCTGAGTGTGTTTTGTACTGATCTCCCCTCTTTATGAGGACTGCAATCAGAATAGATGAGATTAGGGGTACCCTAATCTACCCTGTCTCCAAGTACAGCCACATTTCTGCTAGTTTCTGGTTGGTGAGGGTTAGGGCTTCTGAATCGCAAGGGAGGGACAAAACTTAATCCCATTAGCACAGTCTGTCACTCTTCCCAGCCCTCTCACAGGGTTTCCTGAGGCTCAGCTCCTCTCTTTGAGGCTGTGGGTCTCCTTCCCCTCTCATTTCACGCGTCTGCGGGCAGGTGTTGCTTCATCTTTCCTAGGAGGTTGTCCTGTAGTCTTACCGTGCAGGGAAGCCAGAGCTTTACCTTTCGGCCTGGAATGTAGAGAGTTTCTCTGGTGAGTATCCCCAAGGCACAGAAATCACTTGGAATGCACAGCACGAACTCCCAGGGAAGAGTTTAACTGATCCAGGGGACATGTAAAAACTGATTTCAGGCCAACTTGTTTAAATAAGACCTTTCCTCTCAGCACCCGCTTTGTCCCTAGTGTGGCTACATTTTGGAAATGCAATGTCCCAGGAGACCAGGGTCTCAAAGCCTCAAGTGGCCAGGGGAAGTTTTGGTTGCATCGGGGTACCCCTGAGGGACTGCAGGCTGTTCATAGAGGTACCCCTGAGGCATGACACACCGTTCAGAAGCACCCACTAGAACAGGTTCTCTAAAAAAAATTCTCATGTGAGATTTTCCTCAGCAAAGAGCCAATTAACAAGGCTTGTCACACTCTGAACAGTGGCCACTTGACCCTGCCAATCAACTTCTAAGGGCTTCAGTACACAAAGAGTCAACGAGTGCTGTGTGTGTGTGGTTTCCCTCCCTCCCAAGCCTGAGTTTGCTCTTCAATAGATCCAAAAGGACCCAAATGAAATCATCCCACAAAGCATGATGTCATCCATCCTACAGGAACAGACTGCCACTCCACAGCTAAAAAGCTCTTGGCCCCGATTCCTGACAAGCAAGATAAATTGTGGACAATGATTTTAATTTTCACCTCAAGCAGATCCACAGAATTATGGACCCAAAAAACACTGCATTGTCACACAAAGTAAAGTAAGTGTGCCAAGGAGTCACAGTTTCAGATTCTTAATACAAATGACTTCAGCAAGCCTGAGATCATTGCAGAAATGACCTGCCTTCAAAGATTCTCCTGAAAAAAAGAAGAAAAGATACACACACACACACAGACACACATCATGTATGTTGGCTCTCCAGCCCATTGTCATTTGGTTTCCTAGCTTGGTTAGTGATGCTATTGAAACCCTTTGCATAACAAGTGCCAGGAACTTCCCTCCGACCTCAGCAAGTGCAGGAGAGAATTTTTACCTGAGTAAAGGAAAGTCAAACTTGAATAATCAGACCTAAATAAATCCAAGAAGTTATGGTTTCAATTTGAAACATTATCAACAGCCTCATTTGTTATTGTTTCATGGTTGGTTGGTTAGGGGTCTATTTGGTTTTGTTTGTTTTGGGGTGTGTGTGTGTGTGTGTGTGTGTGTGTGTGTGTGTGTATGTGTTGTGTGTTCCCAAAGTTGACAATAGCCATCATCTTTTGCAATTGCTTCTCACTTTATTGACTGAAGCAGAGTCTCTCACTGAACTTGGAGCTCACTGATTCCAGTGAGTTTAGCCAGTCAGTTTGCTCCAAGGACCCCTTTTCTCAGCCTCTGGAACTCTGGGGTTACATATGTCCACTATGCTTGCCTGGCTTCTACATAGGTTCTGGGAATCTGTATTCCAGTCATTTTGCTTATTTATTTAGGCGTTTTCTTTTTACTTTTTGAGACAAGGTTTCACTATATAGACTTAGCTGACCTGGAGCTCAATATATAGACTAGGCTGGTATTGAACTTACAGAGACCTGCCTGTTTCTGCCTCTTGAGTGCTGGGGTTAAAGGTGTCCACCACCATGCCAGCCAGTCCTTATTCTTGCACTGCAAACACTTTATCCAAAGACCCATCTTCCTAGGGCACCGCCCCTCTTTTGAAGTATTTTTTTTAAAGATTTTATTTATTTATTTATTATGTATATACATTCTGCTTCCATGTATATCTGCACACCAGAAGAGGGCACCAGATCTCATAACGGGTGGTTGTGAGACACCATGTGGGTGCTGGGAATTGAACTCAGAACCTCTGCAAGAGCAGTCAGTGCTCTTAACCTCTGAGCCATCTCTCCAGCCCCTTTGAATTATTTTTATACTGAATTTAAAACAACACGAAATAGAGAGGAATCATCAACATGTCATCTTAAAAGTCACCCCGAGCCTCAGTGAAGCAATACATCTCACTGCTTAGGGTACAGTTTGCATAGGGTGGCAGTGGGTAATGCTAGCTCTTAAAATCAAATTGCTGTGCCAGGACCAAGACCCTGAATTTAACCAAAGTGTAGAAATACACTTTTACACAAACACCTTCCTTCAGATCAACGACACGGCTTTAATTGCTGATTCAACCTTTCCAACTGTAAAAATACCCATACTGACTCATCGGTAGGAGCACCAGGAATCTCAGATAGAACACACTCTCCAACCTTGCTGCGTTGCTCACACTCTCCCTTGGTTTCCGCATCCAAGTCCTCATCGGCTCTCCTGCACCTACTATGGTCCTTGGCTGGGTCACACAAGTAGGTCGAGTAAGTATTGCAGTTTGAGATTTGAACATGACTTCTTAGATGCATTCTGAGGTTCCCCTTCTCTGTCCCATCACCCACAAGGATCTTGCCTTTTTCCTCTTGCTGGTCTTCTCCACTAACAGTGCAGTGCTCACTCAGCCCCTTTTCATGTTTCCCCAGCCTCCAGCCTTGCTGGAAGCCACACTTCTGACTTCTGCATGACATACGTCCTACTGTGCCACCCATGTGAGCACAGAGGGATCAGACCCACCTTTTTGTTTTGTTTTTTTTATGTGTGTGTGTGTGTGTCTGTCTAGACTAAGATGGCACACAGTCTAGGCTGGCCTGGAACTCATTATGTAGCTGCTTCTGGCCTTGAACTACTTCTCCTGCTTCTAGCCCCTAGTATTCCCAAGGACCACAACAGTAAGCAGGCTCATGTTTTAAATACTTATTCCCAAGTTAGTGACTATCGTGAGGTCTGTAGCACCTTTAGGGGGTGGCTGGTGCAAAGTCACTAGGGGTCATTTGAAGGTCATCCCCACCCCTGATTCCCTTAGCTCTCTGCTTCCTGTATGTGACATGTGAACAGCCATGGGCACATTCTCCTAGTACCCCAGGCTGAGCGTGGCCTGCTTTCATTCCTTATGTCCGGTTCACCCCTTCTGTCTGTAACAGACTGAAATCCAATGAGAAGAAGGAAATCTTTCTTCAGTTGTTGCTGCCAGGTATTTTGGTTTCAGAAGCAACTAGTACAGGTGGGCTCAAGAACAGGGGCAGAGCCCTTTCTCTTCTCTCCTTACGTGTACTCGATAGGTATAACACTCATCTGTTGCCTGGGTATGATATCGAGAACTACCCTGTGGGTTCCTCGGAATCCCAGAGAGATTATCTTTTTCTCTTGGGGTCCTGTACAAAATCTCACTGGATAAAGCCTAAATTTGTGAGTATCTACTGTTAGGACCAGTGGGCAAGAAAGCACAGTGACAGAAGAGACTGAGCCAGATGGTTTCCGATGCTGCAAGGTGGAAAGGGCCCTTCTGCAGTGGGGGAAAGACTCTTGGCATGATACGATCTGTCCCGAGGCTTCCCAGCACGTGTGTGAAGGCAGAACATACAAACACACACACACACACACACACACACACACACACACACAGAGAGAGAGAGAGAGAGAGAGAGAGAGAGAGAGAGAGAGAGAGAGAGAGAGAAACTTTGCTCATACAATCTGCCTTTACACACATAGAACTTTTGTTTTTCCTGGAGAGATGTAAAGAAATGTCTATTCGGGCTGGAGAGATGGCTCAGAGGTTAAGAGCACTGGCTGCTCTTCCAGAGGTCCTGAGTTAAATTCCCAGCAATCACATGGTGGCTCACAACCATCTGTTATGAGATCTGGTGCCCTCTTCTGGTGTGCAGATATACATGGAAGCAGAATGTTGTATACATAATAAATAAATAAAATCTTAAAAAAAAAAAAGAAATGTCTATTCACCTCAAACAGAGAGCACACCTACAAACCGTCACAAAGGAATTCAGCTTGGTAACTCAATAAGTTTATTGGATTTACTTACAAGAGCAGCTACACCACCAAGAAGTCCCCTGGGCTACACTGTTGAAGAGTTCCCAGTCCGGTGTTTGTCTCTTCCACAGCTCAGGGAGGGGCAAGAGATCTCCAGGATGGTGGGTTGCCCTGAGAACTCGGGGAACTGATCCCTACATGAGGGGATGTTAACAGCTGGAGCTCTTGAGAGCCACATGTCTGTGGTCAGAGCTGCTAAGAATTGAAGATGGCAATAGTTGATGGGGGATGCTCTTCTGTGTATATGTTTCTCTTATTGGTTAATGAATAAGACACTGTGGCCAATAGAGGCAGGGAGATAGGCGGGACCAGGAGACGAGGAGAATTCTGGGAATTGTAGGCAGAAGGGAGACACCAGGTGAGACCGGGAAGGTAGGATGTGCCGGACCCTTTTCCGGTAAGATAAGACCACGTGGACATACTTAGATTAATAGAAATGGGTTAATAACTAAGACAGAGCTAGCCAATAAGAAGCCCTATCATTGGCCAACAGTTTCATAATTAATATAAGTCTCTGTGTGTTTATTTGGTGCGAAATGGCTGTGGGAACGTCACGTTATAACAGTCTTCGGCAGGTAAGATGGGTAAAGGAGGGCGCCTCTGAGCCTGACAACTAAAAGGAGAGGATGGACTCCAGCAAGTAGTTCTCTAATCTCCACACACTGGAGCACACACATACAAATGAATGAAAGAATGAATAATGAATGAATGTAAAAAAAAAATTAAGATAGCAATGGTCATGTCCAACCCAGAAGAAACTGCTCCATTACAGTAACTCCGTGTGTGTGCCTCCATCCCATAATAGTGCAGCCAACTTATGCCAACCCTTCAAGTATTCAAGCTTAACACCAGTGCTTCTACGGAAATCCCCCACCTCTGAATAACCTGCTGAATAACAGGCATCTCTTACTCAAGGGTAAGTGGGCACTTCACAGGGCCACAGTTCATAGCCAAAGGCAAGCAGAATCCCCTTCTTGGAGGGAGAAAAGTTTGGTAACCACTTTAAAAACTGTCATTTGAAAGGAAAAAGGGAGATGAGCAGATGTCACTGTCAGCCCACAGTCTGTGTGATGCCTTCCTGGGAAGTGAAGTAGGTCTGTGTTGCTCCTTGAGGGACACCCTCTGTTCTGTAGCCTGCCAAAGCCATCTGAGAGGGAATCAAAGAGCACAAGACCCTCCCTGGCTCACCTCTGCCCGGGGAGGGTGTGGGTCACTATTCTAGTGCAGAGGCCTCGGGGTTTTCTCTTACATGTCCTCCTTAGAGTGCCTTGATCTTTTTCATGGCACCTCTTAGCCCAAAGAAATACATAACAGGCCAATTAAGAAACCATATGTAGCCAGGCAGATCCCTGAGCTCAAGGGCAGGCTGGTCTACAGAGTGAGTTCCAGGACAGCCAAGGCTGTTATACAGAGAAACCCAGTCTCAAAAAACAAACAAACAAACAAACAAACAAACAAGAAGCCATGGATAAATAATGTAACATAATGCTTCTGCCTCAGTAATGTAGAGGGAGATGGCTTGGTTCATAGTGCTTAGTGCACAAGAAAGTCCTGAGTTCAGTCCCCAGGGCTCATACAAAAAGCCAGGGCATGGTGGGATGCCCCTGTGATCCCAGGAATGTGGAGACAGGCAGATTTGCAAGTTTCAAGGAAGATCACTGATTAGCCAGCCTAGACTAATTGAGGAGCTCAGGTCCCAGTGAGACACCCCTGCCTCAATAAATAAATAGATAAATAAATAAATAAATAAATAAATAAATAAATAAATAAGGTAAGGGCCAGTGAGATGGCTCAGCCAGTAAAGACACTTGCTGTGCAAACTTAGCAACTTGAGTTTGGTCTTCAGGGAAGGAGAGAGCCAACTGACAAAACTGTCCTCTGACCTCCACACACACCTCATGCATGCATTCTCCAGTAATAATATGTAAACTTTATTTTAAAAAAAGCAAAAAGGTGTATGACTTCTGACAAACAACACCCAAGAGTGACAGCTGAACTCCACATACACACATGTGCCTGTAAACAAGAATGTGTACATGCATATATAAATACATCCACACAGTATATGCTCCTGTACACATGAGTGTATACATACATACACACATACATATATAAATCCCCACACATAAGTGTTCCTGTACACATGAGTGTATACATACATATGTATATAAATCTACACACATTAGTGCTCCTATATACACGAATGTATATAATCATGCATACATACAGCCACATACATACATGTGCCTGTACACACGAATGCATGCATGCATACATACACACATAATCCACACAATCATGTGCCTGTATACATGAATGTATACATACATACATACAATACATGTGCCTGTACACATGAATATATGCATACATATATACACAGAGAGAGGGAGAAAAGAAAGTACTGTAAATATCTAAAAAATATATTTTAAAATTTTATTTTATATGTATGTGTTTTGCCTGTGTGTGTATCTGGGCACCACATATGTACAATGCCTGTGGAGACCAGAAGAGGTCATCAGATCCCCTAGAACTAGATACTGGTGATTGTAAGCTGCCATTGGGAGCAGGGAACTGAACCCAGGTCCTCTGGAAGAGCAGCCAGTGAACTCCAGTACAGAGCCATCTCTCCAGTCCCTTAAAGTCATTCTTTACTTCCACTCCTGAACCATCTCACTGACTAATAGGAACGTATTCCTGTTGAACACTGCATAACTTCCCAACCTTAGATCCGTAATAAACACCACAACCTTCATTTCTTTTTTTGTTTTGTTTTGTTTTTTGTTTTTCCGCGACAGGGTTTCTCTGTGGCTTTGGAGGCTGTCCTGGAACTAGCTCTTGTAGACCA